TCAGCAATCGATTATAGCGTCAGTTCAGCTTTTATGAAATTCTTAGCGGTAAGCTGAATTCCAACAGCATTCCACGTTTCTTGAAGTCTTCTTCATACCAGACCAGCAGACGTGATTGTGAGCTTTACCCGAGTTCGTCCAGAATGTCCATTGTTCAGCATAAAAAATCTTCTTTCTTAGCAGAGCGGGAACGAAAATCCTGCATCCGAAGAATGTGCATCCGCTTGTGAGTGAAAAATTCCTTTCGTAGCTACGGCAGTTAAACAGCGGGGTTCCGGGATGTGTCTTTCTTTCAACGTCCTGCTTGTAGGCAGTTGGGCCATTAACATAGCGTCCTTTTCCGTGGCAGAACGTATATCTTCCACTGTAGCCGACAAGTGGTCGAGTGTTTCGTCGTATTTGGTGAGGACATCTTCTCTGCTGTGATAAAACGTCTTCTTCCTGCGCACTACGGCAGGAAAGCAATCGGAAGAGAGCAGGGGTCTCGTAGAGCAGTACCTGATGTGGAATCGTCGGCGAGTAGCTCATCTCCGATCCGTAGTAGCGGTGATATAACACGGTTCTGATTCCGCAACGTTGCGTCAGCGGCAACAATGTTCGGTTTCTTGCGGTCGTTGGCAAGGCAGAAGTTCCGAGGTTAGAACAACGCGATGGAGGGCGAAGCTTCATGGCACTCTTCAAAGTGTCCAATGGTCCGCGAGGTGAGCGCAACTTTGGCACGAAGGACGAGTAGAATGAAACCATCCCAAGGCAAGATTCGAGCTCTTTACATCTGGAGGCAATGGCAAATGGACGACGGCAGCGTGTATTTCTCCGATTCATTGTCTATGCGGGAAGAAGATCCTTTCGGGGACCGAGGCGTCTTCTTTCCGCATCGACAACAAACTCGAGGGATATACACTTGACTTGATAGAATGACACTTTTCACGGGAACACGCATTCCATACTACTAAAGGCGCTGGAGTTGTTTGAGAAAATTTGCGTATGCACTTCATGCGTCCCAGTGACTTCAACATCGTCCAGATAGGCAAATTCTCCGCTGATATTGGCAATGACGTTGTTCACCAGGAATTGAAAAATTCCGGGACGCTGTTAACATTAATTGGAAGGCAGTTATATCGGAAGAGTCTTCTGATGTGCTGATGGTCAGCAATTTCTTGCTTTCCTTCCACTTTCGGATCGGCGTCACGCAGGTTATTCACGTTGGTGAGAACATCATCAACGGTGTGCAAAGGGTGTCGATTCAGTTTTGATGCGTCATTTGGTAAGGTACTCAGGGATTCGGGCCGTGCGAGCGGTCCTCCTACATACGCTAGCGTACAAACGGTCCCCATAAACCTAAAGTTTCCGTGCGTGCGGCAAACAGTTGAA